GAGAGCAAAGCAAAAATTCTCTGTCAAGAGTTACGATACACACATTCTCAAGATATCATTATTTAGAGTCAGCATCTAGAATTGCTTTCTCTCTGTCCCTCAATCAGAAAAGCAGAGATAATTATCCTTTTTAAAACTGTTTTTAGGGTAAAGTTTTTATCTTTGATAGTACTAGTTTTGAAAAGTGGATAATGTTACATAAATTCAAGTATTTAAGATTATCTGTGCTTAAGAAGAAATTACTTTGAAAAATGATATGCATACACATTCAGACTGATGTATATATTTTTGTGACAGAAGGACACTTACCTTAGGGTTCTTGTCTTATACAGAAATGCGTTTAGAAGATATATACCTACTTGTCTTCAAAGATACAAGGTCCTGACTGTAGCTTTTTTTATCTGTTGATAAAGTTATGATTTGTCTACCCCCATAAAAAGTTCTGAAGAACCTTATTTTAAAATAAGATATTTACATTTAGAATTTTAATATTTACAATTTCTCAGGCAGTTTAATGTTTTACTCTCTAAAAAAGGATATGAAGATCTGGCCAGTTAGTTGATTAGAGCATGGTGCTGAGAACCCCAAGGTTGAGAGTTCAATCCCTGAACCAGCAGCTGCCAAAAAAATTTTATTAAATAAAAATTTGAAGGGATATGAGAGTAGTATCTGCCTAAACTTAGTGAATGACTTGACAGTCCCCAAGCCCCTCCCTTTCCTTAAATATATGGTTCCTAAATAACTAAACTCTTCTACAAGCTAATTTCTTTTACCTTTCAGTTGTTGTAGTGCCTTTTGGATTTAGTGGGACTTCTTGGACAAGTATTCTGTCCCTGGGCATGATGTGGCCCACCATCACTAGCGCTGAGAGCTGATGGAGAAGGGATAACTGAGTCCAAAGAACTGTGGAACTTCCCTCAGGGCTGGAAGTTCCCTGCTCTTTGCTAACTTCCTAGGACCTCTCCATAGGTGAGGATATGGGACAGCAGCCACCTACAGCTTGACTTAGCATGTATCAAAAATACATNTTTTATTCTATGTAAACTATACCCCAGTAAAGGTGATTTTTTTAAAAATGCTGTTGGGGCTTCCAAATGAGAGAAGTCATATCAGCTTTGTTTGATTAGATTTCTTGAAAAATGCAGTTCTGACTTTATAATATAGACACTGAAATTCATTATTAAAAAATATTGTTTGATTGCAATATGTGCTCATTGTAGAAATTTAGAAGGTATTTTTTTAAAAAGCATAAGTAAAACTAAAATCATCTATAATTCATTGGCCAGAGACTATTACTATTAATTTATTGATGTATAATTTTTCTATGCATATTCATATTATTAGTTGAGATATACTGTTTATACAGTAGTATATCCTTCTCTTTTCAACGTCACATTATGGGCATTTTTCCATGTTAAACGTTTAACTTCATATTTTTAAATTCACATTTAAAAAATTGAATTTGGCTGTAAAGTGTATAGAAAAGTACTTCAGAATTATTCATCAAGCACTTTATCGTTTGCATACTTTTTTTTAAAGCTCTCTGAAGTAAAGGATGAAGTAAATCCTTCCGAATCTTGGTGGTGGTGGTGGTGGTGGTGGTGGTGGTTATAAGTTTGTCAAAAGTCATTAAAACATATACATAAAATGGGTGCATTTTATTCTATGTAAACTATACCCCAGTAAAGGTGATTTTTTTAAAAATGCTGTTGGGGCTTCCAAATGAGAGAAGTCATATCAGCTTTGTTTGATTAGATTTCTTGAAAAATGCAGTTCTGACTTTATAATATAGACACTGAAATTCATTATTAAAAAATATTGTTTGATTGCAATATGTGCTCATTGTAGAAATTTAGAAGGTATTTTTTAAAAAAGCATAAGTAAAACTAAAATCATCTATAATTCATTGGCCAGAGACTATTACTATTAATTTATTGATGTACAATTTTTCTATGCATATTCATATTATTAGTTGAGATATACTGTTTATACAGTAGTATATCCTTCTCTTTTCAACGTCACATTATGGGCATTTTTCCATGTTAAACGTTTAACTTCATATTTTTAAATTCACATTTAAAAAATTGAATTTGGCTGTAAAGTGTATAGAAAAGTACTTCAGAATTATTCATCAAGCACTTTATCGTTTGCATACTTTTTTTTAAAGCTCTCTGAAGCAAAGGATGAAGTAAATCCAGCAGCACCTACATTTGGATTTGGCAGTGGGCAAGCAATACCATTTGGGTCACCAGGTAAGTGATAAAGTAATGCAGGACTTCACTGATTTAGAAAATAGGATTTTGTAGGTTTCAAATTGTAAAGCCTGAATCACCATTTTAAGTCATTCTCACACATTCTACCACCTTTCATTATGGAGCCTTGAAGAATTTGGCTCATCAAGCATTTGTGAAAGGGAGGCCAGAATGGCATGTTCTTTGAACAACCTTATAGCCCAGGCTTTAGAAATACATGCTAGGAATGGGTGTTTAAGAGTTTCATGGGAATACATAGCTATGGTAGCAGCACCTTTGAGAACTTTCTTGTTACTGTATATAGCAGCATAGCATTGTCCTCAAGTGACAGCTCTAGTGAGATGGGGTGGCAAGCCAGAAGTGAAAGACCTAGTCCCTGAGGTTTCTCTGTGGGTGAAGGTAAGTCATAGTAACAATGAAATCAGTAGCAGAAAAGAGAGGACAGCAGGGTTTAGTGGGTTTGTTGTAGCCTCTCATTTTCTTTTTATTTTTTTCTCTCTCTTTTTTTTTCCTAATCGAATCATAATTGATTATACATATTTTGGGGGTTCAATATTGACATATGTTGATCAAATCAATATTATTAGCATATATATTATTACAAATTGTACTTATTCTTTATGCCCCTTATCCAGTCTCTCCCCATCCTCCTCTCCCTCTCCCTCCCCACCTCTGATAACCCTAGATTTCTTCTCTCATTCTGAAATAGTAATGGTTTCTCTGTTGATTTGTTGCCTAGATGATCTGTCTAATGCTGAGAGGTGTGTTCAGGTCCCGCACTATTGTTGGAGAGTAGATACTTTTTCTATCACTCTGGAAAGGGCTTTGTGGAGAGAGACATCCTCTTCTTTTCTTTGGTCTCCACTGGTAACTCTACTTGTGACAATGCACTCTAGTGGCTGGAGGGCCATCTGCATGGTGGTTGTTACTTCTAGACACTTTTGCAGCAGCTGTGGCTATTGTGGTGGCTTTAGGGGGCCACCCACATGGAAGTGGTGTTTTTGGCATGCTCCTTGCCTAGATGTGGGAGGAGGTTTCAGTCCCCAGCTCCATCTGTTTTTACTTTCTAAGTTGTTATGGAGCAGTTGGGTGGGAGGGGAGAGACAGTGAGGGGGAAGGAAGTAGGGTGGGAGGAGGAAGGAGGGGGGGCCTGGTTGAGGCCCATGGCACCCCCCCTCATTCCTGCTGGAGAGTCCAGGGGGCTTCCAGTGGTGGCTTGTTCATTGCTGGGGTGAATACACATGTCGAGGGGGTGTGGCTGAAGCCCTTGGCCCCCAGTGCCCTGTCTTGGGAGACTAGGGAGCTTCCAGTGGTGGTTCAGTGGTCATTGCTGGGCTGGTGACAGGTGATGGGGGGATGTGGCTGAGGCCCTCAACCCCTCCCCCCACCATCCCAGTTCAGGAGCCCAGGGTGCTTCCTGGGGTGACTCAGTGGTCATTGCTGGGCTGGTTGTGGGTATCGGGGGGCATAGCTGAGGCCCCTGGCCCTCCCCCCTCCCTGCTTGGGAGTCCGAGGGGCTTACAGTCCTTCTAGGTTGTATAGATGATCTTTGGTGGTGTTAGACCTTTACTAGTTAATATCAAACAATGTTATTGGTCTTTGGGTATTTTGTGGTTTCTTCAGTTCTGTGTTGGATTATTCACTGTTCCCACCACTTAAACTCTGCACTGGAACTAATTTGTTGTCCTTAGCTTACTTCTAAAATGGGGGAACTTCCTGTGGGGACCAGCACTGGAGCCCTGTAGTTGAGCTAAATTGCTGCTTTGCTGCTGATTCCCTAGGGAAGGCTTTTTGTGCAGCTCAGGTTTTAGTGGTTGACTTTGTAGGTACTTCTGGGTCTCATGAGATCTGGTGCACCTGGGTTGTGCAGAAACTCTGGTCTGGGCCTGAGTCTTTTCAGCAAACTGCACCCCCTGCAGTTCTGTATTTGTGACCAGTCTACACAGAGTGGTCCTGCACTGATTGGCGGGCAGATCAGCTGTCCTTGCTGTGCCCCAGTCTTCCCCTGGTGGCCCATCTCCCCCACCACCCTCACTTCAAACACTTCCCATGGGACAGGCTGTGTGCTGGTCCATTGTGATGACTCACCAGCCTCTGAGTGGCTCCTTTTTTCTGTTGTCTCTGTCTCCTCACTCCTATGTGGGTCCATGGGAACCCTGTTAGTGGTCCTGCTGGCCTGAGAGCTACCAAGGCCCTCTTCTCCCCTGCCGCCTCCAAGCAAATTCATACAAAGGTCACAGATGCGGCTTTTGCCAGCTCTTGCTCCGTGCCCTCACCAGCTCCAGCCTTGAAGCGGCCAGGGCTTAAAATGGTGAGAGCGATCCTTTCTTTATCTCATCGTGGCTTCTCCTGCCTTCATGAACTCCATAGGTCTCCTCCTCGTCTTCCCCTGAACTCTAGTGGCCCCAGCTTGGCTGTTGTTGCTTTTTAATAGTTGTAAGTTGGTTGATTTGTAGGAGAGAGTGATGCTGAGGACCGTCTATTCTGCCTTCTTGACTGGAAGCTAGCCTCTCATTTTCATTTTCATTTTTCTCTTCTCTTCCTTCCCTTAGGCTTCTCAACATCCAAACATAACAGAAATAAGAGGGAAAAAGGTAGGGGGCGGGGACAGTAATATGACTACATTTTCTGAGTATAATAGATTATTTTT